GACATACATTACGCAAATCGTCAAACTGCATCACGAGGCAAGCCCTAACTTGGAATCCTGAAGGGAAGCGAAAAAGAGGAAGGCCAAAGAACACATTACGTCGGATAATAGAAGCAGATATGAAAAGGATGAATTACAACTGGACGGAGCTAGAAAGGATTGCCCAGGACAGGGTTGGATGGAGAATGCTGGTGAGCGGCCTATGCTCCTTCACGAGGAGTAACAGGCGTAAGTAAGTAAGTAAGTAAGTAATATTAACGAAAACGATCTTGTTACAGTTTACGATATCGTTAATCAAGGGCATTTTTGCAGCATAAAATAAGGTGAGCTAGCATTACTATAAAAGGGAGTAACAATTTCAACAACTTTCCGCTAGTTGGACGCCGGCATCAGCTCTTTGAGATCACATTAGTAATAAACATTTTGAAAAACACTACTTATAAATTACGAATCCATTTCAAGCAAACAACAAAACGGGGAAAAAGGCAAAATCTGAGGAAATGTGTGCGACATTGGCTAAGAAAATTTGGTGTTTATTCAGGCGAAATTGCAACTAAATGTTATCTTTCTTGCAAACGATAGGGAAATTATCAGACACTTCGTTTAAATGTCTCAAACGAAATGAAGATTTTGCAAATTCACATCAATGAGAATAATAATTGACGTCTCATTTAAAATTTATTTTCATTGTCATTAATAGTTGACACAATTAACACAAACATTGAAATCCCAATCACAGCGACGTCTTCGTACTAACTTACTAGTTCCATAGTCGTCGTTCGATACTTAAGAAAATACAAAACGAATGTCATGAACAGTCCCAACATGGAAGACAATAGCGAGAAAGGCGTACATTACAAAAATGATTTATTAAAAAAATCCAACATCCAGAGTTTCCGCAATCAGTAGTTTGTCATTCACACCCTTATCATCACTGCGTATCCTAAGATGTAATAGACGAAATCACGTAGGAAGAGATTTGATCCAAAATACTTAATAGTCATTTCACCTTTATTGGTTGCTTGTAAGGATGTGAATTTGTAACTTCTCGCGTCGTAGGAGACATTTAGGCGGAGTATCTTATTGCTTCCCCATCCTCTGCAGAAAAACGGCTTTTAGTTGATAATTCACCTGAACAAACACGACATTTTCTTAGCCAGTGTTGCCCGGATTGCCTCAAAGTTGGGCCAGAATTCCCGTTTTTAGTTCAGTTATTAGATATGTATGAGCTTCACCAGTTAAAATCATGAAAACAGATTAGTGACGTTAAAAAAATATAATTTTATTCAGCGCTGAATAATATACGATCCAGCATCACGTAATCCAGAACTTGTGGTAGACCAAAAATAGATCAATTCAAATATAGTAATAAAGTTATTACGTATAAACGGTAATGTTATAATATATCAGTTATAAGTTATAAACACAAATAAAAATTTAAGAACGTTACTTAAATCAGCAAAATTGGGTGTGTTCGAGTTGTATTTGGTACCATAATCCACAATTGTAGATAATTAATAGTTCCAATGGGATTGTTATGGTTCTAGTAATCTAGCCAAACGTAGAATATAATGTAAATGCGACTGCAGTCCATAAATGTAAATATTAGATGATTTAGAGTTCAGTTATCATAACCACAAGTAATAGAGAACGAATTCCAAGGAGCACAAGTGGTAGTGCGTCACTCCACTTCGATGTATCGGCTTGTGCCATCAGAGAGCTTTTCAATTGGCGGTGAAATCTTTCGACCAGACCATTAGCTACTGGATGTTAAACTGTCGTTTCGATGTGGTTCACTGTGAGAAGTTTGGTAAATTCCTGGAATAGGATGGATTGAAACTGAGGAACACAGTCTGTAGTGACAATAGGTGGTACTCCATAATTTGATATCCAGAGATCGAGAAAAACTGCTTCGACAGTTTCTGCTCATTTGTCTTTGATGGGGCATGCTATCGCCCATCTGGTAAATCTGTCTACAGCGGTAAGGATATGTGTAAAGGAATTTCATGGTGGAAGAGGACCAACTATATCTAAATGTACATCCCGGAAACGTCTATCAAGTAAAGAAAATTTTCCAATAGGGATGACTGTGTGCCTTTGAACCTTGCGGCGTTGACACTGTATGCAGCTTCGTGTCTATCTTTTTATATCCGAGTTAATTTTGGGCCAGACAAAGCGTTCAGGAATGAGTTTGGTTGTGGCCCGGATGCCAGAGTATGAAAGTTCGTGCAGTTGTTGGAATATACGTCGTCGAAAGGTTTCGAGAATGAAAGGACGGTTGTTGCCAATTGAAACATCGCAGATAATGGATGAACCGAAGAAAGGAATAGGTGCAGATTTGAGGATCAAGCTAAACTTCTTTTTGCAGGTTTTTAGTTCTGCATCGTCTACTTGTAATTTAGCTATGGTTTCAAGACTAATGTCGTGTTTCTGCACCAGCATGTTGATATCCTTTCTCGATAAGGCATCTGTGACTATGTTGGAATGTCCTTTGATGAACTGATTGTCTGTAGTGAATTGTGAAATATAATCCAGTTGTCTTGCTTCGCGTGCGGAATTTCTGTCGTACGTGTTAAGAAAGTAGCATAAGGGTTTATGACCCGTCACTATAGTGAAGTCGCGTCCTCGTAACAGGAGGTTGAAGTGCTTTACCGCTAAGTATATAGTTAGTAGTTCTCGTTTGAAGGTGCTGTAACGTTCCTGTGCAGGCGAGTCGTTCGGAAAAAATGCTATAGGTGTAATGACGTCGTTGACTCGTTGTTGTAGTACTGCCCCTGCAGCTTTTTGAGATGCGTCATTGCATAGAACTAGGTGAGTCGTGGGGTTAGTATTTAGGTGCTGTAGCATAGGACGTTGGATATCATAGAATTTGCTTTCTCGAATGCCGTTTCGGTGTCAGGAGGCAACATGAAGATGTCGTCCTTCTTTGGCTTCGCTTCCTTTTTATCCAGCTTCAGCAAATTCGTTATTGGTTGTAACGTATCTGTAAATTTAGGTAGGAAGCGTCGATAAAAGTTGCACATCCCGTGGAATCGACGTAATGATTTTATTGAATTTGGTTCAGGGTAGTTGATGATAGCTTCCACTTTTTCTTGTAGTGGTTTGATTCCCTGAGAGTCGATGTGATGTCCCAGAAACTCACGACGCCATGCTTTCTGAAGCGGTCAAAGAGGATCTGTAAGTGTTGTACATGTTCTTCAATGGATGAGCTGGCTATTAAAACATCATCAACATAAACGAACACGAAAACTAAACCCCTTGTAAGTTCGTCCATGAATCGTTGGAATGTCTGAGCAGCGTTTTTTTTAGTGTGAAAGGCATTCCTATGAAGTTAAACAAGCCAAAAGGTGTAAATATTACTGGTTTTTCAATATCTTCGGGAGCGATCGGGATTTGGTGATATGCTCTGACAAGGTCGAGTTTCGAGAAAATCTGTTCTCCATGTAGATTCAGTGAAAAATCGTGTAGATGAGGGATTGGATATCTATCTAAAGTCGTTTGATTATTTAGACGACGGTAATCTCCGCATGGGCGGCAGTCTTAACTTTTTTTCGGAACCACATGTCGAGGCGAAGCCCATGGGCTTCTAGACTGCCAGATGATGCTTAGTTGCATCATGTGTTCAAATTCTCGTTTCGCAATCGTTAACCTGTGTGGTGGCAGTCTCCTCGGCCTAGCGCATATTGGTGAACCTGTAGTAGTTATATGGCGTTAGGTATGATGCAAGGTGTATTCCTTTTGGTAATCCACTCGTGTGATACACTTATATTTCGACAAGATGTCGGTGAGAACTTTGTTCATTAATTTTATTATTCGAACCCCGTGAATTTCACAGTTAGTAGTGATTGTACCATCCACGTGTAGACGGATTTTCTCATCGATTAGTTTCTCTCTACTCATGTCTACTAACAGGTTGTATGCGCTGAGGAAATCGGCTCCGAGAATCGGTTGCTTGGCTTGCGCTACGATGAAAATCCACGTGAAACGTCGTCGAAGTCCGGGGTCTAGGGTCAGAGACTGCTCTCCGTAGGTTTTAATGATAGTTTCGTTGGTCGCTTGGAGCGACACCCTACTACATGTGGTGTGTCGCCGTCTTGAGAGCTCAAGTGGGATGATGCTTATTTCGGCTCGTGTCTGAATTAGAAATGCGAGCTCTGACGTGGAAAAGACGGCTTGCCGTGTGGCCAGAAACAGTCGCCGCCATCACTGTTTGGCATGATTGTTTCCCTGAGTCTCGTGATAGCTTGTTGAGAATGTGCACGGTCGTGTGCAGAGCAGTGTCTTTGCACCATATTTCTGATGGCACCAACAAATTCCGGTGGTCCCAATAGGTGGTTCAGACCGTTTAGTCAACACAGGATAGATAACAACAGATATCGACGTTATGATTTTATGAAGACAGTAAACCCTATCTGTTTTCTGATCTGCATTAGTGTGCAACGCTGAATGAGGCCAGGTTGAAAGGAACGTAGATCCGGAAAGGTTGGTTCAGAATTCGGTGGTGGCATTCAACTTCCAGTCAGTTAATAACTGAGGATCGCTTACATAGGACAAGGTTCCAACCATAGGCGAGCTGATGTAGAAGTTGAGAAATAAAGGAACACACAAAATAATAAAAGGGAATAGGCAAGTGACGCAATGCGAAACAAAAACAAATGTGTCTTGTACTTTTAAAGGGTACGTTTTAGTCATCAGGTAAAACAGAGAAAAATGTTACTTAGTATACTCACCCTTCCATCGATAGTTTTATTTATTATTTATTTGAACACATGAATATTGGTACAAGAGAGCGCCAATATATATGCGCCACAACTCGAACACACCCAATTTTGCTGATTTAAGTAGTGTTCTTAAATTTTTACTTGTGTCTATAACTTATAACTGATACACTATAGCAATACCGCTTATAAGTAATAACTTTATTACAAGTTTCGAATCGATAAATTTTCTGTCCACCACAAAATGAATAAATAAAACGGGGAAAGGTAACAGTAACGCACTATTCAAAATAACATTCAATTCATTATACAATCGTCGTATAATTACCCTACTTAATCATTTACTTAGTCTTAAAAAAACAGTGAGTTTCATAACTTGTTCGCCTTCTATTTTGATGATTCCATAAGATTTCGAAGTGGAACGTTATTCATGTGTTTAAAATTGACGGTGCTATTATTTCTCTTTGAGTTAAATTTACTGTTTTGATCGCGAATTACGCACCAAACCTGCTGTTCACACTTTAATTGAATTTATTTCGATTAAAGTAATATTTTACTTGTGTGTATTGGTTTTGCTTTTGTGTATTTGATGCATCAAAGCATACTTGGTCGACTTTGGCTTGATTTATGCGGTTAAGACTTATGATTTTTTATATATCCTTTTTGTGTCATAATCTTTAGTTAATTTCTAAGACATTCAGCTCCGCTCTTAAATTTGCACAGCCGTATTGATTATAGTCTGCGGAAAAGGGAATGTAATGTGATGAGTATAAGAATTGGTTCCACAAGATGTCTACTCGTTTAAGTCCCACTGCCTATAAAAGGTCCCCAAAGCCTAACTCTCATTGGCTCTGCATGTTTTGTTGTTCGAGCGAATCGTGACTCATCCAAGAGACGTTGGCTAACAAAAGGTTGACGAGGGCTGTACCGGTAACAAGTGTCCTGATAGCATAGAATGCGGCAGTGTCTTAAGTGCTCTCACAGAACGTGTCAGACACCCGACTGTGCAGCACGCAATAGAGCTTTCTGTCCTGAAACACTTAATGAAAGATACACCATTGGATACCGGTGGCCAAGCTGCTACAGCAGCGACTGATGATCCAGACAAAACTATTGTCGTCCTGAGTGGATGTCGTAGATAACGGTCTGTCTGTCGAAGGAAAGGTACAGTCAGAACAAATCTTTCAGTTAAGGAAGATAAAACCACTTTTTACGAAGAAAGTAAAAGGAGGTTACCGCAGGATCGTCACTGGCTTCTATTCTGAGCCATATCTGATAACGCCTCTAGCCACTGTGTTGCATCATCTCTAGGACCCCGACCAGGGAGTCGTGAAGGAACAACACAGGCCAGCCCTTCGTAACTTTCTTTCATACTACGACACCATGTCCTACACTGACCGCCTCCCCGCTTTTTCCGACCAGTTCCAGAGTCGGCAAATAATGCACGACGTGAAATTCTCTGGGACGACATTCGTAGATCATATCCCAGCCACCGAAGTCGGTGTTTCAAGATGGTGACACCGATTGCATTATCGTCTCTGTGCCCGAACACATGATGCCGAACCTCTGCATTACTAACATGGTGTTGCCAATGGATGTCAGCAATCCTTCGGAGACAGCAATGATGGAACACGGAAAGCCGTCTAACATCTTCAACTCGGAGAAACCAGGTTTCACAAGCATAGAGCAAAACTGCTCTCACCGACGCGTTGTAGACCCGACATTTTACAGCCAGACTTACATCACGAAGGCGCCAAAGATGGTCCAGATTGGCATGAGCCGCTGTAGCTTTCACTACACATGCATTGATCTCATCACTCACGCCACCACCAGCACTTATGCAGCTACCTAGATACACGAACTTTTCGTCTACTTATATCTGTTCACCATCCAGGGTGAGTGCAGGATTAGAATCCTGCCAGTCTTTTAGAAGTACTTTGCACTTTGAAGGTGCGAAGCAAACACCATACCTACGGACACTGATTGCCAACTGATTAAGTGCGGATTGTATGTCTTGGGGATTATCGCACAGTAAGACAATACCGTCCGCATACTCAAGGTCGAGAAGCCTTTCTCCAGGCAACAGATCCACGTCGCCATCACTTACATTCATCAGAGCTGTTTCCAGAATGTCATCGATGGCAAAGTTGAAGAGGAATGGTGAGATTGGGCAACCCTGCGTAACCCCACTGCTCGAATGGAACAATGGAGAAAGGTGGTTGTATGCCCTCACTTATTAAAGAGTAGTGCCGAAAAGCAGGCGGGCAAGCGATTGAGCGTGAGAGTTGAATGAGCGAGTCAATGAACAGGAGTAAAATGTACGTATATATACATAGGGAAATGAGTGAATCATCGAATCGATTAAGCGACTAATATTAAAGCTAGCAAAATCAACATGTGCATAGGCGGTAAGCAATGCTCAAGCATAGATATAATAATATAGTATATTTCTGCAAGGCAGGTACACGCCATTTTGACAGGCATGATCTACAAATTACAGCATCTATTGTCTCACAGTATGCATGTTAAATAAATGTAGTCTATAAAAGCTAATATCAATTCATTCTTTCAGATATACTGATTAGTCTTCAAAATAGCGTCGCCCCCACGTTAAACACCAGATCCAATCTCAGCATAATTGTGTTAGGATTTCGGGTGTGCGAAGTATTTATGTAATGCAACTTTTTAAGTTTGTAGTTGTCGTAAAGTAGACTTGTAGAGCGCTTGGTGTGAAGTATGACCTTGGGAAAACACGTACGTCTAGTTTTTTCCAGATGTCAGAAGTTCCAAAGCTGTAACCCCAGAGCAAAATTAGAAAAAACTAGAGAAACAGAAGCGCAGCAAGGCACGTGGATATGAACGGTAAACACTACTGAACATTTTGTATTGGAACAGACATATATGAAGAATTATTAGGACAAATTCATACAAGTGCGACAATAATAGAGGTACAGTGATATAAGTTGTTATTGTACGGATGACTCTGTCCGTTAAATAATTTAATAAAAGGGCCTAATCAAACTAAAATGCATGTAAGCTACTATAATAGCTTCTCCCAGCAAATAAAAATGAAAAAGTGTCTGTGTTTGAGAAAAGAATTGTTAAATTTAACAGTGTGTAGATCACCAACGTAGATGATCTATGTCGAAATGATTGGAGGCCGACTCGAGTTAGACGTGAATAGTGTGACGAACCAACTAACGTCGAAGTCACACCTCGTGGTCAGCACCTTACGTGGACTACTCCCATTGACGTAACAAGGTACTATAGATGCTTTGAAGACTGTACAACACAAAGGACGTTATTACAGAAATATATTAGTTAAGGTAGATACAAGCGAAAGTAAGACCACTGCCGCATGGGCCAGTCCATGGCGTATGATTAACTGATGCGCGTTGCTTGTACATGACCTTGGCAGGGAGCGACGATCTGTTCGACATTCAGTGATCCAACTGCCGGATGATTTGGCTAGGGCTCAGTGACATTTCACTGGCTCTACAAGTGCAGTAAATATCAAAATTTACGAAATTAAGATTTATAATAGAACTATCGTGTAGATTATTGCAAAGATGTATAAGCTTCAGTCTATATATGTCCGTGAGGTCAGATAGGATGACAACGAAAGATCTAAATAATACAGTAGTGCCTTTACAGTTTTATACACATTGACATCAGAATATCCAAAATATGTCGCACATAATAATACATAAGTAAAAATTTCCGATGTGCACATACAAAACGAAGATATAAGAAATTTACACCTCAAGAAGTGAAAGAAATTATTAATTCAAAATCGTGGCTATGTGTCGTTGCGGCCATCTCACTCTTCGACTATATCTTGTCATTCCTGAACTCTCTTTGTTTTCCCTCGTCAGCGTCGTCAAAGATTTAAACTCACGTTTCGAAGGATCTGTATATACTCCGATGAAAGCTGGTTTGACTCGGTAGATGCTAGTTACATCCGTTTTCCAGCTTTATCTACCGTAATAATTTTATCATTTCTTCTAACCACTTTGAATGGACCATCGTAGGCCGGTTTCAAGGGACGTTGCACATTATCCCTTCTAATAAATACGTGGGTATTGTCACACAGTTGTTTTGGTACGTACGCTCGATTTGATATAGCCTCGGAAGCGTTACTCTGAGACTACTCATATGCTGCTTTAGACGTTGTAAATAGTTTATTATATCAAATGGAACACATTTTACAGGAGGTGAAAAGCTCTCCTGATAGGCGTAGAGTAGTTCCATAAACCAACTCTGCCTGGCAACATCCAGTTTCTTGTTTAATTGTTGGTCTTAAACTCAACATGGCTGATAGGAGCTTGTTGGCCCAATCATTATTCTTAATAACAACTGTAAGAGAGGCTTTAGGTTGCCAATGTAATCTTTCTACCATACCATTCGACATCGGATGGTAGGATATTGTGCGAATGCGTTTGATTCCGAGGAACTCTGTGAGTTGGCTATAGTTTCCGCTGAAGTATCTTTTATGGGTACTACTACAGGCCATCGCATTATTATATCAATGAAGGTGAAAATATAACTAAAGCCATTTGAAATCGGCTTCAGTCCCACAGTATCGACATACATATGCTCGAACCTGCTATCAGGGTGAAGAAATGGATCAACTGCGGAACTAGTGTGACGATGTATCTTAACTCTCTGGCATTTTATACTCGGTTCATACGTGGCCATACAAAGCGCTCGCTGATTAGTTTGATTGTGGCCTTCGTTCCAGGATGCGATACATTATGCATAGCTTCGAAAACGTTTCGTTTTAGTGGCTTCGGAATAAACGGTCGTGGTTGGCCCGTAAAAATATTACACATGATGCTTGTTTTTTCGAACGGAGTTTCTTCGAGTACCAAAGAGGTTGTGTTGGCGAACCTTAGTCTGTTTAGCTCAACATTCATATTTTGAAATGCTGCTAATTTGTGACGATCGATTTCAGATTGGATGATGGCGTTTATCGTCGTTCTGGATAACGCGTCTGCCACTTCGTTATTATTACATTTAATATATTGTGTGCTGGACGTAAATAGTGGAATAAATTCTAATTGTCGAATTGCTCTCGGCGAATAGTTATCCTGCCTGGCGTTTAATGCTTCCGAGAGGGATTTGTGATGTGTATAGACTGTGAAAATGGTATCCCCTACCATGTGTCAGGAATGTTTTATTGCCAAGTCAATCGCTAACAGTTCTATTCTGAACGTACTATACCTCGCTTGAATAGGGTCTAATCTCTTTGATAAAAGTGAAAGTGGTTCTCGTATGCCGTTTACGAACTGCTGCTCCCAATTCTATGTTC